AGGGAAAAATATAGTGTGTATAACAGAAAGAAAACAAAGATAACATTAACATAAAAAAGGCGATGCTAGAAAAAGATTTGAAGGATGAATTACATTTTTTTTGTAATTATTTGATTTTGGTCATGTTTATACTGGTGAGTTTGCGTATTGTATAAGTTTGAATTAGAAAAGACGTATGCGGGGTATGCGCCAATGAGATAGAAACCCGACAAAGAACTTAACCAAACTTGAAATTACCATACGACAATTCAAATCGTTTATCATCTTATTTTTGTATGCTGATTCTCCTTCCTTGTCCCGGGAGAGAATGTTGCATCCAAAAGTATATGTAGGAACTACATAAAAACACACGTCATATACCGAATCAAAACCCATGCATATTCTTAATGTAATGTTTTAAACTTGATTGATATTGTTGGTTACAGCAATCCGATGAAATACAAGGAACGAATCAACATAGTCAAAAGTCTTCTTAACAGTTGTTTATCTTGATAAGTTGCTACGGAAAGTATTTTTGAGAACATTTACATTAATGTAGACTATTTGTTTGTAATTACTAGTTTATCATTGATTTAAAGATTTTGCATTCATAATTTATCAGATCATGAACTGTAATTTATTCATACTTCCGTTATTTGAATTTCTTTAAATTTCATAACGAGTCATCTTTTGTTTTTTAGATCCCGATTGTTCACATATTTCTCCTAACATTTCTACATTTTTATACACGAGGTTCTTGATGGGGTATACATAATAGAGAATAATGGCCGAAATAAAAAATGAATAGAGAAAAATGAGAAAAAAATTAAGAATAAAAAATAATAGGGTGCTGAAATATAAAGAATAATTGTGCAAAATAAAAGAATTAGGAAATAAAATTCTGAATACAGAAATGAATGATGTACAGAAAAAAGAAATCATTTAATTATAGAAAAAAGTAACAGAAAAATTATTTTCATGAGAATTTTACAGAATAAGCGTCTCTTTAAAGATAAAGAAAAATGTCCTAAATATTTAAAGAATAAATAAATAAAGGACCCCAATCAAGACCCTCGTACACCCCTGGCTTTCAAACGTTGAGGATTGAGTGTTTCTGATGAAGGACTGACAAAATAGTATACCATCTCTCCTTATTTCTATACGATATTACCACCTGAACAAATGGGCGCCAACAGTGATGCGTACAAAGAACAAACAAATACAACATGAATGTGGATACATTTACATATAATAATGGTACTTGTTAAGTCATACACAGATAGTGTAAATTGTTGTTAACGATATCTAACAAGAATTCTACCACATGCTTAATAATACTACTGGTATATTCTTTGGTTGACAAGTGCCTATGAATAAAGTTGCAGTTCATCAAACCAGGGGGAACGCATTCATGACCTTATAGAGGATACAGGTTTACTGTGACTATTACCTAAACTTTGCATAAACATAGAATTATTATATCTCCATATGTTTTTTCTATACAATGTATTCCACAGACTATTTGCCAGTCAAAAGTTCCAAAGACATTTTCTCCGGTCAATAGTTTTATAATCATATTTCCTACTTTTCATATTTATTTTTCATTTGACAACAATGACTTCATAGACTATTCATGTTGCTCGGACATTTGCGCATGGTAACGTAAAATTCTGAAATATCGAAAATGGTATAAATGTGTCTGGCATCGCCATTTTAAATTTATATATTACTTACCAGGAGCAATTACAAAATAATTAAATAAATGACTTAAATATTTACAAATACCACACGGGCCAAAAAAAAACCTTATTTTTTAATAATTTATGGGGGTCATCTTGTGAATGCATATGTGGCTATTTGTTTTTTCCAGATTATGTATGTAGATTTTTAAGGAAGTTGTTTTGTTCGGTTTAATAAAACACTTAATGACTGGTTATGAGGGTAATATCAAGTTTGCTGTCCCTTCGATATTAACTATTGCCCTCGGCTTCGCCTCGATCAATAGTTGGTATATCAGGGAAAACAAACTTGCTATTACCCTCATAACCGGTCAATAAGTGTATCCTATGACACGGCGGGCGCTACATTGACAACAATTTCGCCAGAATTAGCATTGTTTATATAAAACTTTACGACAAAAGAGACGATTTTTTTATCAATTTTCTTTTTTTCCCTCTTACGATGTTTATATTTTCCAACTCGTTCGTTACATGCTCATACATGTAGTGACGTTTAAGATTTCAATGAACGTAATCACTCCAGTTTTTTGTTGGGTTCGTGTTGCTAGGTCCTTAGTTTTTTATGTGGTGTGTTATGGACTTTGTCTTTTTGTCGTCTTTCGTTGTCAGTTTATCATCCGGGGACTTATGAGCTTTGAATGTCCCATTGGTACCTTCCTCCTATATGTTTAGCTGGTCAATTATACCGACAGGAATTTCATTACCACAAATTACTTAAAACATTTACTAAATTCTTTCGTACATACAAAAATTTGTTTTTAAAGTTTTACTGTACATATAGAAACCTTATTACTAACAGGACATCACACCCTCGTTTTTACGGTGATGTTGTTTATAGAACACGTAAATGCAGATATGATAGATATAAGAAGATGTGGTATGAGTGCCAATGAGACAACTCTCCATCTAAGTCAAATTTATAAAAGTAAACCATTATAGGTCAAAGTACGGTCTTCAACACGGAGCCTTGGCTCACACCAAACAGCAAGCTATAAAGGGCCCCACAAATTATTAGTGTAAAACCATTCAAACTGGAAAACCAATGGTCTAATCTATATAAAAAACGAGAAACGAGAAACATCCATGTTAACGTATTTATCCTTTGAATAAACTTATTCTGAAAGGATACCAATTTAACACTATTGTAAGATCTTTGAAAATTGGCTTCATCGGTACTTACATTGATTTTGATTGGCTTCATCGGTACTTACATTGATGTTGATTGGCTTCATCGGTACTTACATTGATGTTAATTGGCTTCATCGGTACTTACATTGATTTTGATTGGCTTCATCGGTACTTACATTGATTTTGATTGCCTTCATCAGTACTTACATTGATTTTGTTTTTTAAAACTAAATATGTACGGCTATACAGTTAAGGACACAATCATTTCTGATTCAGGTCTTGTCTTACTCCAAAAACTGCTCGAACAGAATTATAAAGATTAACGACTAAGATCGACAATATGTAAGTTTTACGGTCAAATTCACGAATGTGGCGTCTGTGTCATAATTCACTAGCATCATGTTTTCGCGGTTAACTGTTGTCTCAAACTTTCAGTTAGTAGGTTCTACATGGTATGTCGACGAGGATGAAAGGTGAAAACTTGAACCGCCGTTGGGAAATGAGGTAATGTTGAAAAGGGATACTAGTAGATATTTTGCCTTGCCACAAGACGCCAATGGATCCATCAGAGTTTTGTAACAAGGGTTCTTTTCATATGTAAATAGCGCGGCACCCTCCCAACAATAGACATCGGATCACACATCCCAATTCTGACTGGAAGTGGTTGCTCATTTATAAATCCACAGCCAAATGGACGCCACACTTAAGCAAAGGTAAATGCCTAATGTGAGAAGTTCAAGGATGACCATATTTTTATACCCAATCCAACTCCTGGAGATCTGGATAAAGGGGTGCTGCTTACAAGGACGCACCAATGGTTCTAAACTGTTTTTTGAACGTTTGACGGGTGCCTTTTTGATTTGGTTGAACGTTATGAAAATCTAAGATGACCAAATATGTTCCACCTTGTTGTACCCACAATCCCTTCTACTTTTTCTCGTTTATGACATCATCGAATGCGCTGTATAAACTGATTTTGTACCTGACATGTGTAACACGGCGGGAACAATAAGTGTAGCAGAAACTGCTTACGTTCAGGAGAATCTGTGCTTGTCCCGGTTGTTGTGGGGTTTATATTGCTCAATCTTTATATTTCCGTGTAGTGTTTTGGACCTGTTGTTGGTTTGTTCGTCTTTTTTGTTACGTTGCTGGCTGTCTTTCCTTGATTTATTGTTTGAGATTCCTTTTGATATAATCTCCTTTTTGCTATTTTACAGATATGTAATTATCTTTATATCTTATTATTCATAAGCTGTGATATACCAATTCATGTCACGTATTTTATGATAAAAGCACTTATTGACGGGGTCTTTTTGAAGATAAATACATATTGACCTTATACTACTAAGAATAGATCCTAAATTCAAGTTTTAAACATATAGAATTTAATTGGAGGTTGACTTGGAAACTCAGTCAACCAGAATCGAGCTTTCATTTGAGTTTGGTTTTCTCTGATTAAAAATGACGGAAATCGTTTAGATTTGACATAGAATATTTAAACGATGCTTGTCCAATGAAAGTCTTGCACGTCTCGAATTTTACATGCATTTAAGAGGGAAGAAATGTGCAAATATGTATTTCGGTCTCTGATGGAGAGTTGTCTCATTGCAATTGGCAATTATACCACATCTTCTTATTTTTAAATTGACCTCTGGGACGATTAAACACAGTACATAGAATAATATGGTATTATAATGATACAATTGCAGCCTTTTTACGTGCGTCCTTTACAAATATATTCGGTTCGATAAAAAATGCATTTGCCTTAAAGAAATAGACAGGAGATACCATAGGAAATCTAAAAACTCATAAGCGAAGAGCAACTGACAACGCCATAGCCAAAAAAAAACGAAAAAGACGAAAAAACATTGTCCTAAAAACATTACGCAGAAAACTGAAGACTGAGCAATACGAAACCCACCAAAAACAGGGGCGGATCTCAGGTGCTCGTGAATGGCTGGCAGATCCTGTCTTCCACATGTGGCATCCGTCGTGTTGCTTGTGACAATTACAAATTCGGTGATGAGTCTCATTCGGTGATGCTACAATCGAGGTTAAGAGAACAGGAACAGTTACGAACATATCCGTGGTTAAAAGTGCTATAATTGTATAGAATTAGCTTATAACAAAATATTGAACTTCAAAGTCAGCTCATTTCCACTTTATGACTATTGAACAGCGATATACTACTGTTGCCTTTATTCATTCATTGATCTTCAAAAGTGACAGTTCTCTAAGCTATATCTATCACTTGTTTAAATATGATGATGTTTATCTTACTGAACTATCGTCAAATCATGTTTTACATTTCACTTGTGTCAATATTCATCAAATATGTGTTTTAAAGACGGAACACGTTGGAGTGATTCATTCCTATCTTGTAATGTCTTGTGGTTGACTTCTTGATATCCTAATGTCTCAAATACTGTGTGACACAACTTATTTATTTCTATAACTTCATCAGGTTTTATAGTCTTTCTCCAGTTGCTTGCTATCATATTAGCATTTCCAGATTTTGTTAAAAATGCATTGCTGCCTCCGGACGAATGGCCTAAAAGATGACTTTGAATGAACATTTCTACTTTCTGTGAATAACTGAGGTTTGTGAAGTTAAATATTCTCTTAAAGACCGCCGTCGGGTTCTTTACAAGGGCTTCATATTTCAACAGGAAAATTGTATTTGGATATAAAGTTTTAAGTTTTGTAGTCGATTTTATATCTGATAATATATCATTACAAATTTCTGATGCCTTAGATTTGAAATCATTTACGCCTATTAACTTTGCCCTCATTAGAGAATTAAGTATACCTCTTGGGTCTCTGACTAAATGTATTATTTTTAGGTTCGGCAAAGTATTCAAAAGTAGTTCCGTAGTTTCCATTCGCAATCTAACTACTTTTAATATTTTGTTCTTCATCTGTTTACACACTTCTACTAGGTGTCCAATACAGGATGAAATGTTTGACCTTCGCTGACATTGATAATATTCCCGTGTCATACGAGAGTGATATTGCAAATTAGAACTTCTTAGATCACTTAAATTAATGTCAGATAATCTGCAATTAAACCAATTAGCTAGCATGTCTGCTTGCACTGCAGGTAGTTCCATAATTTTATCAAGTAATCTAAAATGAAATTATAAATGCACAAATATAACTAACAGAATCTACAAACACTAAGTAAATAACTAAAAAATAGTAAGCTGTAAAGGAAACTTGTAATGTGACACAATTCAAAAGAAAAAATACAGCAGCCTGATTTATGCTACAACAAAGAACGAAATACAAATAAAGCAGACAGCAACCAACGACAACCACTAGATTACAGGTTCCTTTTCATACACATTTCTATTGTATGTGTCTTGTTTTGTTTTACAATGGCTCTTAATGCTTCAGAGGAGATATTCTGAGTCTTATTGCATTTCAGTTATAGGTATGTAAATATACGGTAACCATCACGAATTTGTTGACCGATACTGTGTTTGTGTCTCAACTGACTAGAAACATGTTTTGCGGTCTTTAGATACCAGAATAGCCTTCGGATCTGTACATCTACCAGTAGTGTCCTATTCCCGATTGCGACATTTTTACTGAATGTTGGTTGACAAAGCAGGATACATTTACCCTGCCGACGCATCCGGTCTCGCTTCGTTTGGAGTTTCAACGATTCTCTAAATTTTGGTTTCTTTTGTTTTTTTCCTTGATTTGTATTTTATAATATTTGATAATCGGTAAACTGCTGTTGCCTCAAATCGAATCAGAAAAAGTACAAAAGCAAAATAAATATTTTCTAAATAATAAAATAAATTGAAATAAAAATGAAAAATAACTTTACGTCACAGTGACCTAAATACAAATAAATCGAAAATGACAGCATATACAAACTTCCTTCAGAAATAAAGAAAAGTATGTACATTACGTTCAGCTCCAAGTAGACCTAACTCGAGCTGCGCTATAAATGAATTTAGAGAAACTATCAGAATTTGCCCTTCAAAAGCGGATAAAGATAAAGGCATCCACTGTCGACGGTACTGCCTTGGGGAAACATATGGCGTGAATATACTTAATAAATAAGGTGTTAACTTTGTTCAATAAGACCAAAGGTGTAACCAGGCAAAAAAATGCAACATCATATTATAATTAGTGTATTCATTATTTTGTAATTTTAAATAAACGGTCAATGATTATGTTGTGGTTTTTTTTTATTTATGAAATAATTTTCAATCGTCGATCTATTATTATTTTTTAGAGATCGTTTTGTTAAATTTTAGTAGCTTTTACGTTCATTTCTCACTCTGTTTTGAAAAATTCTGTGTTTACCTTGTATCGTTCATTTTGTTTTCGATTTAAATTTTGTGTCTGTTGTAGTCAATTTGAATCATCAGCATTGTTTTAGTGAACGAACACAGCAATAACTGCAAAAATCTTAAACAATTAACAAATAATCTGATGAGTCCATCCCTTTCCCAACCACTTATACAGTGTGTTCTAATGTTGTGTTTTTAAACCACTGTCTCAGATTAGGATGATGATTGAGTGCTCATCAATTTGTTTAACTCTGTCATATTCTTTATATGACTGTCCTAATGCAAGAGATTGTAGTTCAGTGGTTTTCGTTGGTTGCTGTCTACTATTATTGTTTTTCGTTTATTGTGTAAGCTTAAATCAGACAGTTGATATTCTCGTTTTCAATTTTTTTTTATGACCTCAAAATACATTTTTCTCTGGTGAATAATTATTCCACTTGTCCTATTTTTATATTGCTTATTTTCTCACAATTCTATTCAACTTTTTTTTCTATCAATTAAATATTGATAAAATAGCACTTACCTTGAAGATCCATTTAAGAATGTAATTGCAGTATTTTCATAGGTATCAAATGATAGGAAATTGATTGGTTCAAATACATAAAAACTGTTTTCAGTGGTACTCAGTACATCTAGCGTCATGGTGGAACCTCCACGGAAATAACCGACAATTAGAACGAAATTGTCATGTGCTGCAGTGTCTGAAACTGATTTAAAGAAAACGAATGATAAAGAAGTATTGGATCACACTAAACTTTTTAATTCAGATACGCCACAATTACATAATTTTATGATATGTTATAACCGATGGCTAACGAGCTCTTGAATTTCTCGTGCACTGATCGGATCTGCCCTATATGTGAAGAAGACGATATTAGTGATGAACACCAGTATCTCCTCAAATGCATTTTTTACAACAGAAAGATAATAATACTTAAATAACAAATTCTCGACAAATTGTAATATTCTTAAGTTCGGGTAACTTACTAATCCATCTAAATAATCTGAGCTTAGAAATTTGTGTTAGTTATTAGAGTTATAAACGATGAAGTGGATTCTCCCTCCTCCCCATATGTTAAAGTCCTCCGTTTAATATACACTGCACATTTTTAACATGTAAACATTTTTATGTATCTTTTCATATCTATCGAAAGTATTGTTTGTTTCCTCAACATATGCACCTTTGTACTATTGTATAATATTAATGTTCTTCTGTATACCATTGTATCTACAATTCTACGACCAGGGTACTAACCCAGTGATTGTTAAACAAATGATACATGAGAGATTAAACGTTTTTTTTTTCTGTTAGAACATGGAATTATAAGATTAGAAATGGCTATTGTAAACTACTGAGTTCAATATTTGCAGCATTTCGAAAATATTTTGTATTCATAACAGTGAATATTCACAATCATTGGGTGACGTATTCTTTTTTATAGTTCAAAGGAAGACAATTTGAAAGGCTAAAGAGTTAGGTTTCCTATTACTAAAGCCATGTTATGTTGCGTCGCATCCTAACAATTCTGTTTTATGTAAATTTCATTCAATAAAGCTACCTTTTACTAAATGTCTCTTCTGATCTTGTTTAGAAAAGTCATGCCGAGTTTGTTCTGAAAAAAAAGATGTGCATATCTTGAATTTTCATGGAATATTCACGTAAATTTCACGTTTAATGCTGATTCACGTGGACAAAATTTGACTTTGTATGAAAATGTAAGAGCATCAAAAATGAATTAATTAGTCAGTTTAGGTTTAGGTGGAAACTTTTGTTTTATTTTAATTTGTATTCTCTCTTGTTCAAGAGTTGTTCTGAAAAGTCCCTTTCAATGTCGATATGTATTTATTTTATAAAAGAAATTTTCTATGCAATAAACCGTAAAAAGGTGATGACCGTATACGTTTAAAATGAAGTGTATATATGCAACTTAACTGAATAAAACACTTAAACACATCTAGAGGTTAATAGATATTGCAGGTGCTATATATCAGGTATTAAATCGTTTAATCGTTCAAGTCTGGAAAAGTTGTGATTCATTCAATATTGATACCAAAACTACCCAAATATTTCACTTATTGACAAAGATACAGCTATTCGTAGGAACTATTTTGTTTAAAATATGTACTACTTTCTTGTATGTTCTTTCCGACCGGGTCCGAATTAGTGGTTCTATACCTTTAGCTAGCTATAAAACCAGGTTTAATCCACCATTTTCTACATAAGAAAATGCCTGTACCAAGTCAGAAATATAACAGTTGTTATCCATTCGTTTGATGTGTTTGATGTGTTTGAGCTTTTAATTTTGCCATTTTCTTAGAGACTTTCCGTTTAGAATTTTCCTCGGAGTTCGGTATTTTTGTTATTTTACTTTTTGCGTTATGAATTATGACTGGCAAAAGTAGTTCTCATTATTATTATGTATTCGTACACGTAATATGAAATATGAAATATAAAATAACTATAACCTTTCACTGAATCTTCCTTTGTGTCTTTTCCAGAAAAGTTATGCAGGGTATGCTCTGTAAGAAACAAAATATATAAAACAAAATATGTTTTATAAATAAAATATTGTAAAAAAAAATGTGACAGAACCACATGTAGATTTATGCATCCATGCGTTGATGTACATTGTATGTGTAACAGAATTTGACAAATATCAACAAGCCTCCTCAATGAAGAGGCAGTTTAACGATCAGATAGACGGACATTTTTCAATAGACATCAAAGGAAGCAATGATCTATGATTTATTTTATGATTTCTTTGTTTCATGAGTTTGCAATCATGTTTTTTCAAGTCTACAAACTTTCAGTTCTAAGAATGTTTGAGGAAAAGTTATTGCTTTCTTTGAGATACATTTTGAAATACTATGACGTACTTACTGTTTCTTGTATTTAAAGAATCTGTGATTTCGCTAGGGGAGACAACTTTCTCCAATTTGTTGTCAATTTAAAAGGAGATAAATAAAATGGAGATGACTGACGATTAATCAAAACTTCAAGTATTGTTTTTAAGTAACCAACTTTTCTTTATTTTCATTAAACGACTTTTACCAAAAAATATTTTGTTAAAATTTAAATAGATGTAATATTGTTAATCTAGAACCATATATTTCTCAAAAAAAGTACAGTGATCAATACTATGTTTAATGTTTATTGTCTAGAATACGCTGTCTTTGAAATGTATCGTTAACATATTTAGTGATCAGTTTGTCTCGACTTCGACAAATGTCTCAGAATGTGTGGAATCTTATTTTACTAAGGCATCAAGCATTATATTTTAAAAGTTAGAATACCGGGATATTTTATATTGGGTATATATAAATGCCTTATGATCCTTGTGACTGGTTTTTGTACATTGTTCTTATCCTCATTTTCATTGTACAGCGACTGCTACAAAACTGATTCGTTTTTTTTTTTAATTTTTTTGTATGTGATTTTTTTCAGTAATTGTGTTTAACTTAACAATTGTAATTGGTATATTGGATCATTGTAAGGTATACATGTCCGTCAGAGAGGCTTCAGTAGATGGTGTATGACATGATTGTAAGGTGTTAAGCTTACATTGACCTAATTTTCTTGGTTCATTGGTAAACATTATTTTTTCGTTGTCATGTCCGTTTCTCAGATAGTATAAAAGGAGGTGCATTTATATTTGTTGAATGGAATGATTGCAAGGTGAAGATGTTTATCAAAATGGGTTCGTCTGACCTTGATTTTTTTAATATTTTATTGGTTATCGTGATAAGGACTGTTTCTTAGATACTATAAGCAAAAGGTCAAATATAATTTGCGAATGGAATGGTTTTACGGTGTACATGTCCGTCTGATAGGGTTATTTTAACATTAACCTCATTTTCATGGATCATTGATGAAGTTTAGTTTATGTGATGTTTGTAGTAAGACCTTGATTGAAGACTTTCAACATAAAATTCAGTCATAACAACAAGTAAAGCAGAAGAGGACATGGTAGTCTTTGCACTCCTGTTTTTCAACAGTATTCCTATTTTGGAATAAACTTGCATGCGGATATTTATATTATCTTTCTTCTGCTTATTGTATACACTCCAGTAATTTGTTATATAATCAAATTGTTTTAGACATAAAAAGCTCTTAAGTACCGTATTTTAATTCACCTTCTAACTTTTGATTTATTCTAGCGTCATTGATGAGTCTTATGTAGACTACGCGCGTCTGGTGTACAGTTTTAAGCCTGGCATCTATGATTATTTCATTGAAAACAAAATATGTAATGTCATCATAAATTCATCATAAATTCACGTTATCGTACAACATTGATTTAAAAATCAGATATTAAAAATCATTGTTTCCATGAGGTTAATATAACGTCACTTTAAAAAAGTTTTATGCATACAAAATTTATTTCTATAAAGATTCGAAAACAAAAGATATAATCAATAGAAACGTTCAACTTATTAGATATTTGTATAATCTACAATTCAACCTTTTAAGAATGTAATATCAAGAGCTTTTTTTAATGCCACAAATTGTTCAATGTATGATGATCACGATTGGTTTCCAGTTATCAATAATGTAAACATGTACGCTATAAAAATAAGAGCCAACATGATTTTCTTTAATAATACAGATAGCCTATAGGACTGCAAACGCTATCTTGTAAAAAATAAAACAGCAAATTTTATATACAACGTCTTGAGTAAGTCAATATAATTGAATTTGAGCTATATTCTTTCAATAACCTAATAAAACCAATATTCATGGAAGGATTTGAGATCGGGTAGTTCGAGAAAATAAATAACATTCTTAATAAGATTCAGATTAAATTTAGTAAATGACTTCTAGGTACACCTACTTCGATTATATACGGCGAACTCGGTCTTTTCCATTAAATATAGATACAAATGTTTAAAAGATTTAGAGTTAGATAAATTTAATTATAGGAAAAGATGATCAGATATGAAGTATCACAGACTTGATCTATACACCATGCCATTGTAGGGCCATTGAATCTAAATTGTTTGTCCAATGTTAGTAAACTTTGTTGAGCCAATGTTTTTATTGTACAAGAAGGGTTTCCTTTTTTACCTACGGCGTTCGCTGTGTGTAGATGTTGTTTTGAGAAGCTCACTGCAAACATGACATTGTAAAATCAATATCATAATACTTGAGACATCGTTATACTTAATGATGAAATGAATTATTAATATTATTGCAATGTACAAAATAAGTTGCCTGACAGCCTATATGAAATATTAAATAAAACATATAAAGTGTAAAACTTGTACAATTGTTTCCAAGCAAAAATCCTCCGTTTATTATTTCAGAAGGGGATGTTATGAATTTAATACGAATATTGTTAGGGACATGAGAGATGCAACTGAATAGAATAAGACGCTGTAATGTGATGAGCTTATGAGCGTTGGAGAAAAACAAAGCTAAAGAAATTATTTCAGTTTATTATGATATTTACCAAGAAGTGAATTTGAATTCTGGTGGATAGTTGTCTCATTGGCAATCATACCAAATTTCCTTATTTGTATAACCATATTTCGCATATATCGGACTCTGATCTTCAGAGATTTTCATAATACAATTGTTATAACTAATTAGAAACCAATTGTTCAGAGAACACTTGAAGGTCTTTCCACATCAATTTTTCTAAAATGTTATTAAGAAGCTACTTCCGGTTTACTCAAATTTTTTTTGGTGTCCAATCATAGGTTTCTTCATACTGATTCAATAAATATATGGTTTCTATATACTTTTAACTGGAACAAGGGAGATAATTGTCAACTTCCGGTTAAAAAAATATCTCCATTGGTCTCATATGATAGCTGTATTTACACTGATTCACAAAATATATGGTTAAGGTAGCAATAAACAGTTAGGAAAAAATTTTTAAATTTACTCTCATAAATTTTACCATCCCCTTTTTCTTGCTTTCTTGCAAATTAAGCTTACTGTTTTTGTCATATATGTGCATATGTATGTAATCAGTATCTTCCATAGATTTGATTTCTAGTAGTTAAAATGGTAGATATAATTTCTTTTTGGTGTATCCATGCCAACTATCTGCATTTATTTGCTATAAAATATTGCAAAAAAGGGGAAACAAATGTCACATATTTCCCAAAATTTAGCCAGAAGTAGAATTTCAATCCCTTGGAGTGATACCTTTTCTGAAACTGTTTATATATATCTATCAGGAAATCAAATAAAAATCATATGTCTTTCATCTCATTTGTTTGTAAAATTGCGCCAAAAACATCGTGTAGAAAAAAGTGTTGTAAACATTACATTAATTTCTAGACCTACGGCCGGTCTAGCTATGAAAATACGGACAGTCAAACAGAAAATAGCCAATAAAACATGGAAAAATACTCTTGATGTTCTTATAAACCACCTTTGAAGGCTAAATTAGTACTCAGCTGTCTAAAAATGAATTTTTATTGCACAATAACTTTCATATTTGAAAAATCCACAGGGGCCAAAATGAGAAACCAAACTCCTAACTGTGTATTGCTACCTTATGTATACATTTGCCTGTAAAAGGGAGAAAATTGGCTACTTCCGGTTATAGAATGTGACTTCCGGACTCAAATGATAGGTTTATCTATGCCTATTTAAAATATATATGGATTATAGGTAATTTTCCATGAAATAAGTGCAATAATGACTACTTTCGGTTCACTCAAGGTCACTTCCGGTTGACATTTTTTAAGGTCATATGTCACCTAACATTTTACAAAGACATTATGGCTTTATCAAGTACAAATCTAAAGTAATAATCTTAGAATAAAACATTCTTGGGGCAATAACTCCTATAAGATGTCATTGGATTGTTTCAGACCAAATGTATCATATCTTCATCTCAATAAAACAAACATTTTGCACTAGTTCTTTTATATATTATTTTAAAAGTATCGGAGAAAATGCAAATACAAGCAAAAGACAAAATTCAGAACATGACCTTGACCTTTGAACTTGACCTCATTTGTCATCAAGTTAGGACCCAAGGACCTCAAATAAAAAGACTATAGGTTTATACGGCTTACGGTTTATGAGTTACAAAAACATAACGACAAACTTATTTGATAAAGGTAGATAACTCCTATAAAATTCCACCGGATCGCTTCGATCCAAATCAGTTATAAATTTATAAGGATGTAACGAACAAATATTTTGTCGTTGTCTTTTTTGGTTCCGGAGGAGATACACTAACAAGAAAAAACAGTGTTTGGGGAGATAACTCTTACAAAAAGGGTTTGGCGGAATGAGAAAAAAAATAATAATCAGAACAAATTCAATAGGTCTTTCCACAGAAAAGTGAAAAGACCTAATTAAAGATACTTACGAATCTGTCTATATGTTTTGTTTCTATCCACCAGAACATCCATAAATATAATTATAACAATAGCAACACATGTCCACATGAATCGGGTTCTTCGTTTAATATACAAATAAATTCCTCTGATGTTTGCCATCTGTATTAAAACAGTATATATATTTCAATTAATTTTCCTTGTGATATTCACTATGACAAAACGTTTTTAAAAATCACAAAACTATGACTGAAAAAAAAGAACGATTTAGCAATCTAATTTTTCAATTGGTTTTTTCTTTTCAATGTTATCTGAATTAGATGAAATTTTGCGAAGACACATTTAAGATCAATATTCATTTTACTTAAACGGTAGATCAATTAACGTATATTTGTATGTATAAACATGGAAGCATTATATTGTCAATATAATACTTCCATGGTATAAACATGGGTAAAATTACTAATAATAACATTAAACTTTGATAATCAATGGCAATCGATCCGATCAAGATCCTTTGAGGGTTTGAGTTCAAAAATCATTATCCACATTACAATGATGAAATAAAATAGAATAGAATAGATATAGAATAGAACATTTTATTTTAAGTCGGGTTTAGATGAAACATTTCAAACATAAGCTCTGTAGAGCATTTTGTCGACATGTATAACCAATATGAGGACATATAAAACATATAAAACATACACATAAGACATACAAAGTAAGACAGCTATATTACATAAACAAAAATGTACATATATAAAAGCATAGCAACAACAAACAAAGCCCTTAACTAGAGTATAAGCACATGCAAAGCAGACGAAATAAATAAAGCAAAACTAGTTCATCAAGCTGCATGGAAAACTCAACAGAAAAATCAAAACATTAAAATCTGCAGGAGCCACATCTGCATGAGTTGGCATTCCAGTTGTTGGTCAATCATACTTGTAAACTGGTTCAGGTTCAACTGTACATAGATCGCGTCAACAAGCTAATTCCAGAGTGTCGCTCCAGCATATCTTAATGAATGAAGACCAAATTATGTTGTTCTCACCCGTGGTACTTCAACAGTTTGTTTCTTTCTAAAAGGGTAAGGTACATTTTTAAAATTTATAATATCATGGAGATACTCTGGTGACTCTTTCTTTGTGTAATATTTCAAAAGTTTCTATGGCCATCATTCGTATACGTCTTATTTTTAAAGAAGGTAAACCAAATTTAACAAAAAAAATGTCATAGTCACTACAAACATCTGCATAGATGGACCTCGAGGCACACTCTTGTACTTTTTTCCATTTCCCCTTTTTTTATATAGATACATTAGATATGACATTAAAGAATAATAAATAGACAGCGTAAAATATTCTATGATCGTTCAGCAGTTGATTGTGATTAATAAGTGAGTGAAAAGTATAACAAAAATACAGAAATCCAACGTAAATTCAAAAACTTTAAGTCCATAAAAACTGACAAAATCGAACGTTATCAATTAACGGAACGAGTGAAAAACAGCTGTCATATTCTTGACTTTCTACAGGCTTTATCCGAGGAAAAGGTGGTTGAAACCTGGTTGTATAGCTACAGCTCAATCTCCCATTTGTATGACAGTTGTATATAGTTCCGTTATATTGACAAAATTCGGTGAGCAACCCATTGGGATCCAGCAGCCAAAACTGTGTTAACATACATCACAACTAATTAAAAGATTCAAACAAACATATTTGATACCGAACCAACTATTTGAATATAGTACGAGGGAGGTACGTCATGGAGACAGCAACTGAACGAACAATAGAAGATTGTCATCAACCACTGAGTGGAAACAAACCGAACATCCTGTGTGGTCTAAGATAGACTTCGCCAAAAAGGAGCTGTTACCTTAACTTTGTTATTCAAATTTATGAACTGGAAATGTTCAGTGCAATCATGACTTTTTAAGATCACTGCTATGCGGGATTAATCATTAGACTGACAGTCTATAAAATGCTCTGTCGCCCCAGATTTAGTACATAAACGCACGTTTTCTTTTTCAAAACTACCATCATGTGACAAATCTGATAATGAGTTGATTTTTATAGGGGAGAGAGAGGCGAAAGATACAAAAATAATTTTCAAACTCAGAAGTCAAAACAAACGGGCAATGCCATGGCAGGAAAAGACAACCGATCAAAAACAAATAGATAACGGCATACAAAACACAACTTATAAAACGAAAGACTGAGCCATACGAGAATCCCACCACAAACCGAGGGTGAACTCAGGTGCTCGGGAAGGGTAAGCAGATCCGGTTCCACATGTGGCACCCTTCGTATTGCTCATGTTAGTACGAACCCGGTGATAAGTCTGATTCGGTAGGACACATTTGAGGAAAAGAGGACGGAATATAGTAACAACAATTGGAGAAGATCTGTCGTCATCAGAGAAACAGATATTCCAACTAATGATGGAGTCCGTAAGATTTTCAAAGGGATGATTTCAACTTATCCCCTTTGAACTCTTGGTTTAATAGCTTCCCTGTAAGCATCATTACAATCACGTTAAGAAATTCGAGCTCTTGGATATCATATCAACTCGGATATATAGAATCCATATGCAGGCGCTGCTAGAATGATGCTACATTGAAATGGAACGTTCACAACTGGGAAGCTGAAATCATCTCTTTTGTCGTAAACTTTTGGTATCTGCCGACTCTCATTGTCAATTTTTAGATGTAAGTCAAGATATAAGACAGACTTGGCTGTTTAAAGATTATCCTTATTTCAAGTTTGATGGAATAACATTAACGGTACCAATGTTACTGCATCAGATGCACATTTCAACCAAAAAAATCTCTTCTGATCACGGCCAATATATTTGAAAATCCAAACCTTAATGTCCTTAATATAACAATGAATAGCTGATAACCCAAGAATGACAAAAAGTAAATCTTTGCCTGATGGAGATATATTTAAAATTTTGAAACAGCAAATGTTAGTAACAAAATATCATTTTTACCCTTCCGGAGCACCTAAGATCTCCCCCGGTTTTTGGTGGGGTTCGTGTTGCTCATTCTTTGGTTTTCTATGTTGTGCTTTGTGTACTGTTGTTTATCTGCTTGTCTGTTTTTCTTTTTTAGCCATGGCGTTTATTTTCGACTTATGAGTTTGAATGTCCCTCGGCGACTAACAGTCCACCAGCAAAGGTATCGATCCAGTGGTAGAAATAAAATTAATGGTACCAATTTTACTGCACCAGTTATGTATTTCGATAATAAATGTCTCTTCTGCGATGCGCATGGCCAAAATATTTAAAACACAAATCCAAACTTAAAAATACAAAAGTGAAGAGTTGATAAACCAAAAAAGGACAAAAAATATAAACAAATCCAAGCAAGAAATTGCAGCTGTGCACGTGGGAGATATATTCCCTTATTTAAATAATTTTTGGATGAGAGAGATATGTTCCCTAATTTAAATAATTTTAATATTTTTTTCCTTTATTCATATGTGGTTGACTCCATACAATTAAGCAATTGAAATTTTGTAACAGCAAATCTTATTAACACATCATCCGTATTTTCATGCCAATACCAAGGTACTGGCTACTGGGGGTGGTGATACATTGGGGGACTAACAGTCCAGCAGCAGATGTATCGACACAGTGGTATAAAAGAGGGACGAAAGATACAAGAGGGACAGTCAAACTCACAGATCGAAAACAAACTGACAACGCCATGGCCAAAAATAAAAAGACAAAAAGACAAATAATAGTACAGATGACACAACATAGAAAACTTAAGACTAAGCAACACGAACCCCACCAAAACTGGGAGTGATCTCAGGTGCTCCGGCAGGGTAAGCAGATCCTGCTCCACATGTGGCACCTGTCGTGTTGCTTATGTTATTACAAATCCGGTAAATAGTCTAATTCGGTAGTTCACATTCGTGAAAAGGGAAGGGTATTGTAGTTACGACATAAGGATCACATCCGATATCATCTGTGAAACGGTTATTCCATAACGGACAACCAACTCGTGATGGCGTCCGTAAAATTTACGAAGGGATGATTTCAACTTCACCATTTGGAACTCTTGGTATAACATTAACGGTACCAATACGGTCAACATAGTCACCAATTTTGAATTATTTGGTGATAGGACATCATCTATATAACGGGAAGTTAAAGGTTATTGCTAGCTTCTTTTCATTCTTCCTCGGATGCCCTTGTATGGAGTCAGCCTCATATGAATAAAAGAACAAGCCGACAAGAAAAGTAGCACAGGTGGTTTACATTGGAATGCCAATAGTTTGTTAAAAAAGCACGTCCTCCAAATGTAAAAAATAGGTTCTCGATCAAGAAATAAAGCACCTTGATAATGTTGGTTTCAGAGCTTTTTTTTTGAGTCAGACTGTTGATTTTGTAGAAATATCTACTGTTCAATTTTGATCAACTGGCGAGGTAACAATCAAACAATGATTGAAGGCTGTCGTTTTTGCGTAATAATATCAATGTCGGAACCAATCACTCAAATTTGGATATGAATTTTCGGAATGGTGTGAAATTCAATCTTTTTTTCTTTTTTAGCCATGGCGTTGTCAGTTAATTTTCGACTTAAGAGTTTAAATATTCCTTTGGTATCTTTCACCTCTCTTTTATGCAAATAAAAAAAAAGTCTTTTTGCAAACAAAAACAAATTGCTACAGGCTTTGACTCCTGAAACAATAGTATATTCGTGGTGAAAAGGGAATAAAGCATGAAGAAGATTAGGCTTCACGAAAGGGATGGACACCAGTGTGCAACGTAGTTTTCTGGTGCTCCCCTGAAAACCGTTAGTTGAACGGCATCTTTGTTTTCTTTTTCTTTTTTTTATCAAAATACCACCACGTTTCATCATATTTTGGATTTTGACCCCGCGAGTTACACAAATTAGGGGATTACCCTTTTAGGGAGATTTCTCTTTCTTACCAAAATTATCTAAATAGCAAAGGATCAATTATCCTTTATGCTAGTAGTTAATTTCGATCAGAATATGAAGAAAGGAAGTTAATTTAACGAGGATTGAACTATATGCCCTTTATGCTAAACTGTGTGCTCTTAAATTAAACTATGTAATCTTTAAGTTAAACTGCGCTCCCTTTATTTAAACTACATGTATGTGGCCTTTGTGTTAAACTGTGTGTCCTTAAGTTAAACTGTGCTCCCTTTTTGTATTACTATGTGACTTTTAAGTTTAACTGTGTGCCCTTTAGATTAAACTGTGTAAGTTACGTGTACTTACCATTATGTTGGGCAATAAACAGCGATAATCTAAACTTTGAAAATCCCTGTCAAACAAAAGATTAATATTTAAATTGTACAAATATTATACTCAGGAAGTCACAAACCATGTATGAGTAACCATAGGTTTCAATTATTGAACAGTCTGCAAAATGTTATAAACATAACTGCATTTTAAGCAATAAAGTCCAAATTTATTTTGTTTGATTTAAAAAGAATTGTGTCTACATTTTCACATAAATAAACGTTTAGATATGCAAAAACATATATTCAATCTTTCGGAACATTTGCTTACAATAAATTAAAAAAAAACACCCAAAAAATCCTCGGTTGGACGATTAAATAAGTATAACAAAACCTTTCTTTTGACTAGTACTAAACCAATCAATAATTAATTAGCATTGTTAACCTATTTCATACCCGTCTGTAATTAAATATTTACATTGTGTAAAATATTAATGAAGTACTTCATTGTATTATGGGTATAAACACCTGTAACGATTCATTAATGTGAAGGCCTACGTTTAATAATAGTGGCTAGCAACTATCGGTTATTAGAATAATTTTTTGCCGTATTAAATTTAGATAAAAAAAACTCATTAAAGACACGAACACATTATTCCTCACAGAAGCGCGTTTTGTCCACACAAGACTCAACAGCGACGCTCCAATCAAAAGAGCTCAAAGGTCAAATAAAAAAACGCCGGAGAGATTGAGGTCTCAGGTGCTCGACGTTTCCCTTTGTATTATGTAAAAAATGATATATCAATTGTTTCAGTATATTTTTTGTTTTGATGTATCACAAAATTTCGTAATACACATAAAAATGTCATAAACCTTAATTAAGGTAAAATAAAGGATCTTCTACAAGTTAACAATCGTTTTAATTTCATTCCTAAATTGCGATCTATTAACGAAAATAAATGTCTTTTTTATTCAAATGTAATCTTTAGACAGTATTTTCGTTGTTTGAACAATAGAATAGAAGCACAATTAAATTGCGATCTATTAACGAAAATAAATGTCTTTTTTAGTCAAATGTAATCTTTAGACAGTATTTTCGTTGTTTGAACAATAGAATAGAAGCACAAATGGCTATTATGTGCTTGTCCTAAGTCAGGGGTCTGTAGTTCAGTGGTTGTCGTATGTTCACGACTGTCATATTTGTTTCTCATAAATTGTTTTGTTATAAAAAAATGTTTAACAGAAATACCGAACTTCAAGGTAAATTCAAAAAGAGAAGTCCATAAACACTGGAAAATCAAACTCTTTTTGTTCAGTGTACGTTCACTGGTGTTAATATGTCTTTTGATTGAGTTTAGCCATTTCAATTGATATTTTATAGTGTGTCTTTCTATGTTGTGATGTTACACTATTGTTTCAGATAAGGGTGAAGGCTTGGTATCATTAAAACGTTTAAACCCGCTGCAATTGTTTGAACTTGTCCTAAGACAGGCATCTGATGTTCAGAAGTTGTCGTTTGTTGATGTGTTTCATAAGTGTTTCTCGTTTCTCGTTTTTTATATAGATTAGACCGTTGGTTTTCCCGTTTGAATGGTTTTACACTAGTAATTTTTGGGGCACTTTATAGCTTGCTGTTCGGTGTGAGCCAAGGCTCCGTGTTGAAGACCGTACTTTGACCTATAATGCTTTACTTTTATAAATTTTGACTTGGATGGAGAGTTGTCTCATTGACACTCATATAACATCTTCTCATATCTATTTATCAACCATCGGAACAAGAAGAAAACAACTGTCATATTCCGGTCTTGTTACGTGTATTTTCCGAAGAAAATGGTGGGTTTAATCTGGTTTTTGTAGCTAGCTAAACCTCCCACTTGTGATCACTTGTACAATTCCGTTATAACTGCAAAATTGGGTTAGTAACCCAAATAGAAATAATAAGTTAACTTGACAATAATTGGGACTCAACAGCCAAATCTGTGTACACAACCGACTAAAAAAATCAAACAAATATGCAAACAAAAAAGTAATTATAGTTGATAGTACATACCGTATATAGTAAATACTTTCTCAATAAAGTACAAATTAAGTTGAATATAATAACAAGGGTAAACAAAATGGAAACAACACTCTTGCGTCCAAAGCGAACTTCAGGACCCACTTCACCATGAACGACCAAAGACAAAAATCCGATAGCGGAATGCATAAATACCGAGTCACGTCCAAATTATACGACAAAAGAAACAACACAACAGCACAAAGAAAAATAAAGGGAAAACTGTAAAGTAAACAAAGATACATAACTTCAACACTTAGAATCTATAATTTAAAACCATCTTGTACTATATGTGAAGTAGACACTGAATATTTATCTATTAGGTCTTGGTACTTTCCGATGAAGTTTTTGAGAAAAAGGACGAGACGTTCTTTGACAAAACCCTGGTTCAGTAATTTTTTTTTTTGCTCGGACACCAATGACTTTTGACAAAGTCTATGTAGTAGCTGCATGCTCTTGAATATCGTAGGTGTGGAGACATCTATAATCCATACGGGGAAAAGAAAATATATTGCTACTAAGGTGAGGAAAATTTATACTTTCATAATTTAAATTGTCTTGTTTGTCATATATCCTGATACTGAGATGACCGCTGTTGACAAATTCGAGGTAAATGTCATGAAATGAAGCGATGGATGATGTATCTGTGGTTTGTTTAATTTCTAGTTCTGAAGGATATCTTAATGGAATCCAATCAGAAAAGTTTGGATTGTAAATAGAAAGACCTTGTCAATTAACCTGTATGTGAAATTAAATTATCTAGCTTCTTTGGTCTTCCTGTTTTTACAAGTGTTTGAAGATCGAACTCCGACTCATATAGTTCGGCCAGGTAACCATTTGCAATCTGTAATGTGTTTATGGTCAAAGTGACCATATACAATCATTGATCTGTTCAAACTTCCCCACTTTTATCATTCCCCATTGAACCATATATCATGCATCAATACTTTGAAGAATATACGATATTGGTCCAATCAAAGTAACCTATAAAGCATTTTATGGACTGATGCATGGTTCTATTGGGAATGTCACTTAGTATTTACACCTGCGTTATGTCTACGCCTTTAAATAATGAAACATGTGGTAGCAGGCTTTTTTTATTTATTAAGAATTGCATGATCAGTTACTTTGATTGGACCTGTATCGTATATATTTCAATGGGAACATTGGAATAGTAAATTATGTAGAGTGTATGCTCCAAGGAGCACCTGATTTCATCCGGACTTGATTTGGTTCGCGTTACTCAATTTTAGGTTTTCTGTGAAGTACAAATATAATGATATGTGGTAAGATAACCAAGAGACAACTGTCCACCAGTGTTCAAATGAGTGGATTTAAGCAACTAATCCAACAATCACCAAAAACACATACCAATATACATGTAGCGTTAAAAACATTCTCGAAATGACAAAATTGGAATTGACTCAAACGGAAAACCTACAGTCTGATTTATGACAATCCAATCAATAATCGAAACAAATTATGACTGTCAACAACCAAAGCAACCACTGTATTACAGACATCTGATTTGCGATTTGAGGAAGTTTATTGGTCTTTCTATACTTTTTCTTTACATGGCGTTGTCTGTTTTTATTCGACTTATACTTATGTACTGTTCTCTCACTTTTTCAATGTAAATTATATTCGTTATCTCATCATATTCTTGTTTCAAATTTATAAAAAATTTGAAATCGGTGAATCAAACCTTTGAGATGTATGTGTAGCAATTATTTCAATTGTGATGTCAACAACTTACGATGCTGTCTGGTTTGTTTTCGACCTATGGTTTCGTTTTGCACCTTGGTATCATCTCGCTCTTTTAGAGAAAATTCTGTTCATAATTGAAACATCGTATGAAACACAGAAGTTCTGACAGTACTTTTAATAATGGTTGACTCAAATCAATAAACAATAATGCCATAACAACGAAACGTAATAGTCAAGATTTGCGAATGTGTATAAGGCAAGTTCCCGGGGAAACCCTGGATATTACATTCCTCTTTAATTTATAAAAAAAATAGAAGCTTGAATTTAAATATATAAAAGTATTACACTATGTGTTTATTGTTTGTGATTAACAGTCTCTTGTGTTTTTCTTATGGAATTTTCACATTATCATTATCACATTACATAGTCATTGAAATGTTTCGGTACCCTATGTTCTCGTTGGTGTCTCTCATTTGATAATTGTCTATACTCACACGGATTTAAATTTTGTCCATTGTTAATCTTGTTCTTGTATTCTGTTTTGTGAGTAGTTCCTCTCTCCATCTGCCCCCTCCCGCGCCTGTCTTGCGGGGGAGCCATATTCTTCATCCTCTGCCCCCTCCCGCGCCTGTCTTGCGGGGGGGGGGGGGGCATATTCATCTTCTTTTAAAAGTGTGTTGGCTATTTTAAACTTGCTAGCATCTATACGAATCTCCCTTCCATCTGTCACCCTTCTATCACCTACGGTTGAGCCGTTTACTACAAATACTATGTAGAATGCTGATTTATATGCTGTTGACCATTTGTCTCTTTTGTTTTGCTCCAATAAGACGTAGTCGCCAATCTTGAAATTGTGTTCCCTTGTATTTCTATTCTCAGCTTGATGTTTGATTTTATCTTTGTAACATTTGTCTCTTTCGTTCATCTTCTTGTTATCAGTTATTTCTTCATCATCGTTCGTTCACGGAATATATCCTATATATATCACTCGTCTTTTCATGAGTGCTTCGTACGGTGATACACCTGTAGCTGGATGAGGTGTGGAGTGATATCCTACAAGCATTTCCTGCACAGCTATTGCACTATCCTTGTTTTGTAATTTTGTAATTGTTCTGTCTTATTCAATACTTTCATGAAGGCTTAAGCTATTCCATTCGCTCCCGGTTGTAAGTGTGTAATTTTATGATGTTCGAATCCTTGTTCCGTGGCAAAGTTGTCAAACTCCACAGCATTGAAAGGTGGTCCATTGTCACTCTCTAGTCTTCTTGGTATTCCATATGTTGCGAAGATCCTCATTAGTTTGTTCTTTGTTTGTTTGCAAGCAGTTGTTGTCTAGCTTTTCCACTTCAAGATACCTTGTTCTTTTGTCAATTACTACCAGATTGTAGTGTCCATCTGGATATGGTCCTCTTAAATCTACTTGAAACAACTTCCCATGGATTCTCTTGTATATCTGTCATCTTCAGTGGTTCCTGTCCGTGTTGTTTTGTCGTTATATCAGGA